TAATACGGGGACCTAGGCTAATATAAAAAGTAATACAAGTTTCTGCAGAATGAAAGGAAGTAAAAATTAATCGTATTCATGATACACGTCATGGCATATATCTATTTATAAGCTGATGGTACATATGATTGAAGTTAATGTGGATCTGCTTCTCTTTTGCTAAGTATAAATATTTTGCAATTTATGTTGATTTATTAAATTGAATTCAATACAATCAAAACGAATATTTCATAAACCGTTTTTAACTTGAATGTAATCTTAATAATATCAGGCATTCTACGTTTAAGTTTAGCGGCTATGTCGGAGACCTGCAGGTCAAGATGAAGGCGCTGGACTGATCCTTTTTTGCCAGCTTCGACATATCATACTTAAAGATCCGACTGTAAATGTCAATGATGTGAAAAAATGTATAGAGGCTGCCGTTAAAATTTATTTTTCCAAGTAGAATTGTAACTAAGGAATACAATCCCGCATAAAAATCGCAAACCCGCAAGCTGGCGGGGTCGAGGTCATCTATGCGAAACCGAAAAAAAATCCTATTATTTCTTCTAAACCGTTATATTCAAAATTGATATATAAAAAAAAACAACAGAGTTGATTTAGAATTTTTTGTTTTAATTGGTTTGAATTTTTGCTAATATTTCCGAAGAAATGATGAAGTCTCTAAATTTTCATCTTTTAAATTCGGCCTTATTTTATTGCATTGATAGGCATATCTCAGGGACTTTTGATTTTGGTGATTATGCATAGTTTCGTAGGTATATGGACCAAATCGCTATATATGTTGGGTATTTTTCTGAAGAAAATATGTTATATTAAAATATTTACTGTCCGGTCCGAAACAATACCCGCTCGCTGTAATCCCAAAACTAGCTACAACATCAGTGATTCAGGGTTATTCAAATTTAACTAAATTTTCTTGTTTTTCAGCGTAACTTTATTACCGTTGGCATGGATTCCGCATTTGTGGGATTGGATTCTTCAATTGTAATGATACTTCAGACTCAGGGGTGTACGACGAGTCTTATTTGTTCGGTGCGGTATAATGTACATACATATACATAGATATGTACATTTTTTCGATATACATACAAATGCATGTATGTATGTATGTTTTTATGAATAATGTTTTGCCTACATACGTATGATACAGTACAGAATTGTTTTTAATAATAAATGCACGATTTCTTATTTCTAGTATGTCTATACGTGTATTAGGGTGGTTCATAAAAATATAAAAACTAAATTTTGGTATGGGGCGCCCAATTACTTTGCTCTATATACAAAATAAAGGCTTTGACGCAAATTCGAAAACACTTTTAGTGGTCGATAGCAAGGATTGAACAAATTTAAATTTTGCATGTTATTGAAAACCATTACATAAATTCATACATAGTATCGCTAAATGCATTCATATGCAATATTAAGCTCCAAAGGCTGTCCCTTTTTTATCTTTTTTCCATAAGTTCTGAATAACATTAGCTAACAAATATGCTGAGCTCAAAACACATTTTTTCATTTTTTCTTTGGTATTTTTGCGGTTATTCAAAAAACGTGCTAAACTCGCAAGCTTGAATAATAAATACTTCGTTTTTTAACTGGACAAAAAACTCGCTGAGTTATAAGTCAAAATTTTGTCGGTTTCTTGCTGTAAAAACTTGGATTTTGGTATTGGTTATCAATTTCTAAAAAGCAAGCGTAGTCCCACCCAATTTTCGAAATTCATAAAAAATCATAGTGGTTCAGCCCACTTCTAAAAATTTACAAAGAATTAAATATTTCACTTGAAGATAGTTAGTACATATAAATTTAGAAATCATTGAAATATCGCATGATTTCCATTTTTCCCAATTACATTTATGTATGTATGCATGCTTATTGCCCGATTTTGCTCATCTCCAATACCGACGCTTTAAATTTGTCAATAATTTTCAGCAATATTTTTGGTTAAAGTAGGTGACGAACCTCTGGCATCAGGCCGCGTTGATAAAACAACAAAAAATATGAAAATTGTTGGTAAATTGCAGAAAACTTAAAAAATCTACAAAATTTCGGGAAAAGTGGCTTAAAAGTAAGCGGTCTTTACAGTACATTGTCCCACTATTTCTCAAATTGGCGTTTATTTAGAATTAGTATTTATTATTTATGAAAAGGCAATAAAATATATATATATGAAATTCGCCAAATGGTAATATATTCAAACCCTGGTAGCGACCCCTTTACATTATTTAAACATTTTTAAATTTTCATACACAAACAAAACAAAACAAAATTAAGCGGTGCTCCATACACAATTTATAAGTTTATATTTTAACGATCACCTTCATGTTTGTGTATACAAACATATATGTACGAGTCACTAACTATATATGACTAATACTAAACTGTCATACATATTTATGAAACACTATTCCGGTCTATATTTAACTAAATTTAAGTATCTAAATTTATGTAAATATGTATCTAAATGTTAGAAAAGCCTGCGAACGAGAGCCCATGCATGCACACAGTACAACGGTATAGTGATCTGTTCAGTCCCAACAATTTTTCTTTGATGTTCAGTTTACTATGCTCCTCACTTTTCAAAATTTTTCAAAGGTGCCAATATATTTGTTTTATATATTTTTCATTTTACGCTCGCTCTCTTCATTGCCCTTTAGCTCTTTTAAACCCACTCTTCTTTTTGGATTCACGACATCTATTCTCATTCGTGTAGAATCGCACTAAGCCGCTCTTCGACGGCGACCTTTCGCGATTTCCACACAAATTCACACACAGCAATTACACACGCCACGCCCATGCCGCCCATTAGCACTACGAACACCCCGCCCACATTCGCCAAACCCAACTCATTAGCCGCTGATGAAGATTTCGAGGTCTCTACGCGACAACTACCACCGCCTCGCTTCTCTTTCCACCATTTTGTTTTCAGTATATGCAATTTGCCTTCTTCCTGTAGTTTGAGTATAACACCATTGATGGCGGTACGATACGGGGAATCTGAAATGCAGCAGAGAATGTGTTAATTTTTGTGTGTGTAAAATGATGTTTAATATTTTATTAAAACGAGTTTTATTTTCCTTACTAGGTGGCGCTGCTATGCCATAGCCTTTGGTGTCCAACATGCCGCCCACCTGAGTTAGTTCACAATTGCGTTCGGTTACATATTCAATGGATGTTGATTCCATAAGAAAGGCGTATGAACCTGTAGCACGTGGTTCGATAAATACAATGTGTGTGTTTGATTTGTTGATTCGGCACTTACCTTTACCCTTGGCCACGCGATCCACACCTTCGGCATTGGTTGAGGTGAATACAGATGGTCGTGCGGATTCCATGAATGACCACATGCGTTGGTAGGTGGAGATTTTCGATTCCTGGTTAAAATATAAGTAGAATTTTAGGATAAGAAGAAAAAGTTGAAAAAGTTAATAAAAGGTGCATACAGGGCAATTGTCTTTCTACTTATCAAGACAAAGGCCATTCGTACGATAAATTGTCAATTCTGGCAACTATCTGGAGAACTCGTTCCTATCTTTCCAAATACTAATTAAAAGATCCGCTAAGAACTTAGAGTTTTTCTACTTGTTCTTTAGCAATAAGTTTTCAAAAAATTAAATGAAATTTAAAACAAAAATATATATTTTTTTAAACAATAAAAATTGAATATCAAAAGAAAATTAAATTAATAAAGAAAACCGGAAATGATGACCGTTCTACTTAGGAAAAAGGAAAACAATTAAATTTCCAAAAAACGAGATCAATAATATAAGTTTTTCAAAAATAAAAAATAAAAAATTAAATATTTGTATTCAAAGCAACAAAATCTAAAAATAACACATCAAAAAAGAAAAGAATGGTAAAAAAAAAAACTTTTTAAAAATTAAAAAAATAACAATTTTGAGTGGTTATAATTGTTAAGAAGATTTAATTAAAAAATAAATTACATAAGTAAAACAAGTTCCTAAAAATGATTTGAAATTAAAAAAGAGCTTTTTTCTTTTTAAAACAATAACATCTACAAATTTAAACAAGTAAGAAAGTCTAAGTTCGGGCGGAGCCGAACATTAAATACCCGGCGCAAGTATTAAATATGTTTTTTCACCTTTCCGAAACCTTCCGCTAGATGGTAAGCCGGGGTGTATCAATTTTGAGTAAATT